ACAAGTTGTATGCTGTTCTGTAAAGGAAGAATTAACTTGTAATTGTTATAACGCAATACCATTCAAAAGTTTATAGGGTCAGTAAGATTTTTGGTTTATGTTTTTTTTTTCTAAAGAAGTCTCTAATGTTCTCCAATTACATTTATTAGAGTGAAAACCATAATAGCATGCATTTTAATACAATTATAATTAACTGTTTTTTATTTATTTAATATATTTCTAAAATGTAATTTATTCTTATAATTGCAAAGCTAAATTATTCCAGTCTTTAATGTCGCATGACCCTTCAGACATTTTTCTCATATACTGATTTGGTGCTCAGGTAACATATTTTTTTTATTATTATTATCACAAGTGAAAATGGTTGTGTAGCTTAATATTTTTGTGGAAACGGTGATGCATTTTTTGTAACATTATACATGCCTTTACTGTCACTTTTGATCTATTTAATGCATCCTAGATAAAAATGCAAATCTTAAAAAAATTAAAAATAAATAAATAAATCTAACTGACCCCAAACTTTTGAACTGTAATGTTCATCATTGAATTTTATTATTTTTTTTTTTGCATAATCTTTTGCTGCAATAATGTTGCATTGACAATGCATGTGCTTTGCTTTCTGTTTGTTTTGCATGTGGGCTTCTGTGTGTGTGTGTGTGTGCGTGTGCAAACAAACATACTCCAGATAGCGGAGGACGTGCTTATAAAAGAGCATCCCTGTCGCTCACTCTCTGGCCTGTGAAGAGGGTCCAGAGCTCACCCAACCTGTACGCAGCTGCAGGTATCAGTGATGAAGCAGGGCTGTCTAATAGACACAGAGTTTTAGAATGTCTTATCTCATTTAGCTTACCGTTGTTTCATCTGCCTTCATTATTTAAATGAGTTTTCTCCCCGTGTTCTGTTTATATGTGCTTGTTTTACGTTTTTATGTTCACAACATCTGATTTGTTCCATGTCTTGCTGCATTTGTCTACGTTATCCTTTTTTTTCTCTCCTTAGCTCTTAGGAGAAGAGAACATTACTATTTTCTGTGTTGTCAGTGTTACAATTTTAAAGGAATAATTATCCCAAATGTCAACCCAAAAATGAAAATTCTGTCATCATTTACTCTCTCTCAGTGTTGTTCTGTGTGTTTGAATTATTACTTTGAGGCCAGTTCCATGTTGCCTTTTAGTATTTTAGTATATAGTATTTGAATTTATAGGTTGAGATATGACAACACGTCTTTAAATTTTGAAAAGATGCACTGTTATACTCTTTTAATGATTTGAAGATTTGATTTGAAGAAATAAAACGGATGCCAATTTAAACAGCAACATGGAGACCATGCCCTTCACTTTCAGTTGTAATGGCCCTTACAGTGCTGAAACGTCTGTCATCCCGACAGCATGTGTTCATGTATAGTTTGCAAAATACAGGACCAGAATTAATTCTTATAAAATACATTTATTTATGTTTTTGTTCAAAATGTAAGTTTTTGTTCTTCCACTCTCCAGGTTAACATATGTTGTAGTTTTAATCATCATTACGAGTGAGAGGAGTAGGTGGTGTTTCAAACTTTGTGTCGTCTTACTAGCTGTCTCTCTCAGTTGTGTTCAACAGCAGCTTCTGCTCTTTAATCATCTGTTCTCTGTAATTCTGCATCTCTCTTTTCATTCCCATATTGTGGCCGTCATGCACATCATTTTGGAGGGGGCACCAATAACAGGACCGACTCACATGCTGTAATGAGCAAGATAAGATATAACCAAAGGGGAAAAAAATGTTTTGCATTCCAAATTGTTAGCTCACTTATGTAATTGTTATAATATTGTGTTTATATTAATACAGCTTTATTTTTCCACAGGTAGTGATTCCCAGTCATCAGATTCAGGCAAGTGTTTGTTGGCTGTGTATGTGATTCTGTTTTCATCAGTGTGTTTATATAAATATTCATGTGTACTGTACAGTGATTAAATGAAGTATTTGGACACTTAAGAGTTTTTTATTAAAAAAAAAAGTTTTTTCCAAGGTTACATTTTTTAATCTAATAATTTTATTTTATTTTGTATGAGCATTATTTCACTTAGGTTTAGTTTTAGTTAACAATAACTATAATAATTTGTTTGTTTGTGTGTGTGTGTGTGTGTGTGTGTGTGTAGATGCCTGGCGTTCACGTAGTGTGTCTGAAGGGTTAAGGAATGGAGATGCCAGTAGCTCGTCCTTGACTTCTAAAGGCTTCCGCAGCGTTAGACCAAACCTACAGGATAAGAAATCTCCCACACCGGTACATATTTATTCCTAATACATTTTTACATTAATTTTGTACCCCCTTCATTTTTTTCCCACAACAAACGATCCTCTTCTTTCATGTTATGCGTTGCTTCAAAATTAAATAGCTTCAAAAATTATTTGGGATTAATATTCGTCATGTTCTTTTTCCAATATGATAACGTCTTTCTAGAGGGTTCATATCAAGTGTGATTTTCTTGACTCCTAAAGCAGTCAAATTGAAATTTCTCTGAAAAAATTTACTTTATTTGAACTGACTTTATATATTTGAATTGACCTTTTCTCTGACAGGTCCCCTTGCCGCCCCCTCGGAGAGAGAGCTATCACATGACCCCTAGCCCCCCATATTACAGTTCCCTTCCAATGCTGTCAGACACCTCCCTCTCTCCCCCACAGAGTCATGATATAATTTCCACAGGCTCTTACACCTCCTCGTACTCATACTCTAAGACCACCCGAACCTCCACTAGTACCCCTGGAGCCCCCCTGGAGGAGCCCCCCTTGTCCCAACAAGCTAATGCTAACAGTTTTATCACTCGGGTTCTCGGAAACAAATTGTCATCTTCAAAATTTACCACTGACCAACTAAATGCAGCACCTAACAAGACAAACATGATTAAAACTGACCCTAAGTCTAAAACTAAGCCAAAAAGTGCAACTGCTCCCCCAGCTCAAGACCCTACTGCAACTTCTGAAACACACTTAGCTTCTCTCTCTATCCAGTTAGTTCCCCGCAGTCCAGAACCCCAAGCAGAGACCCAGTCAGGGTCTGAAATTGAATCCAAGAAAAACACAGTGGACCTCGCTGACCCTACGCGAGCCCCTGTTGTACCACCAAGACCAGCGAGCAGTTTGGTGGTATTACTGTCATTTATTTACAGTGATAATGTACACTTATACTACTGGTCAAAGGTTTGGAATAATTATGATGTTTTAATGTTTTTGAAAGAAGTATGCTCGTATACTCACCAAGGCTGCATTTATTTGAATAAAAAATACAGCATAAACAGTAATATTGGGAAATATTACAATTTAAATATTACAATATTTACAATTTAAAAGAGCTGTTTTCTATTTGAATATATTTTAAAATACAGTTTGTTTCTGAGAAGGCAAAGCTGAATTTTCAACAGCCATTTCTCCAGTCTGCAATGTCACATGATCCTTGAGAAATCATTTTAATATGCTGATTTGCTACTGTCAGATATTATAGCTTAGGCGCTTAGGCACCCATTGTATCTGTTAGTTTTCTTCGTCTTCGTCTTCTTTTTCTTTTTCTTCCGCTCTGGGTGTCTATAACCGCTTGTGGGAAAGTTATGAAATTTGGCACACAGATAGAGGCTCAATATTAACCATAGAAAATTTGGAGTCTCTATCTCAAACTCTCTAGCGCCACCAATAGGCCAAATTTGCACTCATATTTCTGCTAATAACTTTTGAACTGTAAGGTCTAGAAGCAAATTTTTCCCCCTCTGATTCTTTGGCTCATGCCGAGTCGAATACATACCAAAATATAAATTTCTACAAGTTTTTTTTTTCGCAATTTTGAATTTTCAGAAAAATGTAGTTTGTCCAATTTTCACCAAAATTCGCTCAGATTATCTTCAGAGCATTCTGGTAAAAAGTTATCAAAAGCTGTTTTATATATCAAACCGTTTTCGTAAAGAGCGTTAACGAATTAGACAAAATTTGTGCAAAAATAGACGTAAGGCTATATCTACGTAATGCTATGTTATAACAAGCATGACCTGAGGGCACATGAGTTTCAGCACAGTGGCACCTACGGGTCAAAGATATAAAAAATTGACATTTCTGCTTATAACTTGACCAGTTCAGCCAAAAATCCTAAGATTAGATTCGTTAGATTTGAAATGGCATACCAAATCGAACTATACCTACTTTTCCTATGCCAGCCTTTTGGGGCTTCGGCCATTTTGAATTTTATAGTAAAATTATGTATCAACAAATGTCTTTGGATGCTTCTCAAACGGAAGGCTGCATCCTACCAAGGCTGCGTCCTTCCTAGCTTAGTCCTTCAGAGTCTTGTAAGCTAGAGTCCTCCTCAGCATTAAACACTAGAATGAGACAGTCTAGTAAGTGCGCGTGGCTACGTCACATATGTTCCCGCCCTCACCGTCACGGCACAAAAACGCTAATAAAACTTTGTTTTGGAAAAATACTTTGTATTACAAATCTTTATATTATTTTGCTTTCTATTAATGCAATACAACGAATCACAGTCGTCTAGTCTCCCCACGGCTTAAGTTATTGGCAGTTTAGCGTTTAGTAAGTAATTTACACCAAAACAAAAGATAACATCTATCCTTTCATGTCCAAAAACATTATTTTTGTCTTACATTTCATAATAAATTCAGACAAACTCAGTACTGACTTGTTTTTCGTCAGTTTATTTTCATGAAATGGATTAAGTACAAAGGATTGTGGGTGATTGAATGTCGTGGAGGATACATCCCATGCATCCTTCAAATTCAGCTGAATGAAGGACGCGAAACAAAGGCTGCCTTCCAAGGATCCTTCCGATTGAGATGACCTTCTGCAACGTTTGATGACATGGCAGCCGAGATATGCAGCCTTCGTAGGATGCAGCCTTCTGTTTGAGAAACACCCTTTAACAGGGGTCTCTATCCCTGCTCCTGGAGAGCTACAATACTGCAGAGTTCAGCTTCAACCCTAATCAAACACACCTGAACCAGCTAATCAAGGTGTTCAGGGCTACTTAATTACAGATAGGTGTGTTGAAGCAGGTTTGGAGAACCCTGGGGCAAGTTCAAGCTCAAACCGGTGCGCAACGTTTTGCTACGGTTTCCGTTTTCAACAACATGTTTCCTGGAAACGGTGTGAAACGGTGTGCAACGGGGTTTGATTTGCACCGTTTTGTCGGGGTTGAACGCAGCCCTGGTCTTTACTGCGTAATTAAAGACAGCGCCTTAGCTCTTTATTTTACCTCTGTTGTGCTTGGCCACTTAATTGCTGCTTGCAGCTATATTTATCAATTATTATCGGTACCCAATTATTAATAATGGTTCTTGCTATTATCAATGTTTAAAACATTGATTTTTTTTTTTTTTACTTTTATTACTTATCCCAAACTTTGGAATAATATATATCATGGTTTACACAAAAAATATTAAGCAGCACTCACTGTTATCAACACTGATAATAATAAAAAATGTTTCTTGAGCACCAAATCAGCATATTATATTATGTTAATGGCTTCTGAAAATTAAAATATAAAACAGTTCTTTTCAATTTAATTCAATTTTTTAAACAGTTTTTTCTCATCAAATAAATGCAGCCTTGGTGAAATCTAATTTATTCCAAACTTTTGGAAATTTTTGTATCTCTCTTTCTTAAACTGAGTGTAACCCATTTAGCACTCATTCACCCTCATCTGATGGAATAGAGTGAATGTACACAGACGGCTTGATGAAAGAGTGTGTGTGTTTACTGCTAATTACTATTTTCTTTCATTTTTCCAGCAAGTACCTTTTATTCCTTCCCACAGATTCACCTGTTCTTCTTCACTCAACATGGTTCAATCTGCCTGTGCTCACCAGCTTTGTTTTGTGTTCACTTTAATATCTTGTCTTCCTTCCCTTTTATTCCCTCCCACCCACCTCCATCAGCGTGAGTTTTCCCCTGTAAGAGGGAGCATCGGGCCGCTCTCTTCTGGACCGCCTTCCCCAGACCCATCAGCTCGCCGGTCACCGTATAGCCGGGCCAGTCAGGATTCCCCTGACTTCCTTTCAGGGCTATTGCCCAAAGCCCTCTCACTGACACCCTATGCCCCTCTGGAACGTTCCGGGCTAATGTCGGCCTCACCTGCTCTGTCACCAGTAACTGTGTCGGCGCTGAGTCATTATTCATCATCCACGGCTGGGCTGGAGGAGCTGCAGATCTGCGGCATGGACTCCTCCCCTGCGGCCACGCCCACCCCATCCCCCACACTCAGCCACGCCTCCAATACCACTGACGAGCTTCCTACCGCCCCGTCAGCTGCCACGGGCACTAACGTAACTATCACGCTCGACTGACGCACCTCACCTCAGTCTGGTGTCACGTTTGTTTGACTCTACTCTTGTTTGTATGTCCTCACTACTTTTTCAGCGCTGTTGAATGTCTAACTTTGAGTCACATGCTTTAATGCGTCAGCTTACAGCAGGTGGCTGCTTTGTCTTTTGTGTTTTTTGCTTGATTTTCACTCTGTTCTATGCAGCTTTTTATTGTGTGCTATGTTGTTTCCCGTTTAAAGTCAACATGCACACATAATGTGAAGTGAAATAATGTAGAACTGTAGAATGTGACCTGATTTTATCCATCTGGAATTAAAAGGGTCAGAGTCCATGCCATAATGGAGCCAGACCTAAATGCAAGTTGAGGAAGAAGATGAAAAATATTATATAAAGTAGATCTCAAACTACTATATACAAATGGCATATAATGGTAAAAATCTATTGTAATTTGCTATTACTGCTGTAATGTTTATTAATATATAAATGTTCACTACTGTTCTAAAGTTATGAGTCAGTAAGATCTTACAAGCAAGGCTGCATTTATTAAATCAAAAATAAGTAATATTGTGAAATACTATTACAGTTATTGTTTTCTATTTTAATACATTTGAATAATGTAATTTATTCCTGTGATGACGAGTCTTCAGTGTCACATGATCCTTCAGAAATCATTCTAATATGCTGATTTGTTTCTTATAAATATCAATGTTAAAAACAGTTATGCTGTTTAATATTATTTTGTTTTGATCAATAGAAAGTTCAAAAAATAGAGATTTAAAAAAATATTTCTATTTGAAATTAATAGAAATATTTTTAGCAATATAAATACCTCTACTGTGACTTTTTGATCAAATTATGCATCCTTGCTAAATAAAAGTATTAATTATTTTTTTTCTAAAAACACATTTGTGTATATGTATATATGTGTGTGTATATATATATATATATATATGTGTGTGTGTGTGTGTGTGTGTATAAATATGTACTGTATATATGTGTATTTTTGTGCAAGTTCACAAATGAACTCTAAATATATATATATATACATACAGTATCTCACAGAAATGAGTACACCCCTCACATTTTTGTAAATATTTTATTATATATTTTCATGTGACAACACTGAAGAAATGACACTTTGCTACAATGTAAAGTAGTGAGTGTACAGCTTGTATAACAGAAATTAATAGAAATATTTTTAGCAATATAAATACCTCTACTGTGACTTTTTGATCAAATTATGCATCCTTGCTAAATAAAAGTATTAATTATTTTTTTTCTAAAAACACATTTGTGTATATGTATATATGTGTGTGTATATATATATATATATATATGTGTGTGTGTGTGTGTGTGTGTATAAATATGTACTGTATATATGTGTATTTTTGTGCAAGTTCACAAATGAACTCTAAATATATATATATACATACAGTATCTCACAGAAATGAGTACACCCCTCACATTTTTGTAAATATTTTATTATATATTTTCATGTGACAACACTGAAGAAATGACACTTTGCTACAATGTAAAGTAGTGAGTGTACAGCTTGTATAACATTCTAAATTTGCTGTCCCCTTAAAATAGCTCAACACACAGCCGTTAATATCTAAACCGCTGGCCACAAAAGTGAGTACACCCCTAAGTGAAAATGTCCAAATTGGGCCCAAAGTGTCAATATTTTGTGTGGCCACCATTATTTTCCAGCACTGCCTTAACCCTCTTGGGCATGGAGTTCACCAGAGCTTCACACATGACGACATCACGGAGCTGGTGGATGTTAGAGACCTTG